TTTTTTTTTACTTTATAAAAGCAGTGATGCGCTAATGATCATCTCGGATGTTTCCAATAACATATAATCATTTGTTAATTATGTTATTTCATCCGTTGCGCATCTGGTTACCTTCTTTCTTTCTCAGCTACCTGCTGTATTTTGTCATTAGAATGAAGACAGAAAGATGACACGTATATTATAAATAGACGATGTCAAATAATTGATAATCATAATGCGCAGAAGAAAAAAAAAAAAAAGAAGAATTCATCATCCTTTTTCACTAATCACAAAAGTATACAGAATTAAGCGCAAGTTATTTGATGCTGTCATTATCATCATCATCATCATATCGAACGAAAAGAACAAAAAAAATCTGTCTTTCCTTTTTATTTTTATTTTTCAATGAATATTAGCATTCAAAAGTATATCTATGCTATATGACACTTATGCATACATACATTAAAAGTCACTATGCACGCGCATTATGATACAAAATATATACTCATGTCAATCAATCAATCAACTTCAAATAGAATAAATCATTTTTGTGTACCATTCTACTTCCAATATTATACTTATAAGTCATTCGATAATCCATACTGATAAATAAAATATATTTTACGTTATACTATCTTTGAACGAGAATATGACAAAGTGTATTTATATAGTACTGAATTATTACTATGTAAAAGAAATCTCGGAATATATAAATTTTTGTTTTTCTTACTAATAATTGAATAAAACCACCTTTAGATTTTGTATTAAAAGGAAATGCAATCAGTGATCCATCATTGTTTGATAATTCACAAAGACCTAAAATAATAAAATTAGAATATTGTTTGATTATATTAAATAAACCTTTTGGATTATCTTTTGTTTCAATGGTATGTAAAAGTTGACATTGATTTGGAAAAGAAAAAATATGAATTTTGTTCATAAGTATCACTAAAAGTCTATGTAATTGAAAAAGAAACAATCATATATAACAAAAAAAAAGGATAATAATTCTCAAACTTTGTTCGTGACATTCGGACAGACATTATTGATGTTTTAAAGCAAAGTTTAAGTACATGTGTTTTACGTTGATTATCATAAATATTAACTGAAATAATTTTATTTTAAGAATATAATAAATAATTTTCTCTTACCAACGTTCGATGCTAATCCAGGAGCATAATCTGCTAGTACATACGCAATTAAATTCGTACGATAAAGCATTTCGGCATAGGTTGTACGACCAACACCTATATAAACATATAGGAATGATGTAAATAAAAATTCTTTATGATATTTATTACCAAGAAAACATTTTAGAGCAAGTGGTTCAACATTAAATACGCGAATACCATCACTTGTAGCACAAACAAAACAACCTATAAAACGATATTTTGGAATATTTAATGAAGATTTCAAAGAAAGAATGTCCTGTCTTTCGGTTATGTTATACGGCGCTGTTTGGAAATAGTTTCGAAAGTTTGATATTTTCTTTACAAATATAACTAGCTGCAGTTCTGGACAAAATCACTTAAATTTACCGTACACTTTGTCAGTTGTGTTCCTCTTCGCCGAAAAACATGTTATCAAAAGAATTTTCTTCCAATACCCACACTTTTGCAGTGGCTTACGAGCGAGAAACTGTTTTCAACGAAAAGGATATACACCTATTAATTCGATTCTAGTAGATAAGTCTTCTGAAGAGTTTTTTGTATGTCTACATATGTTTTTAAAAATTATTCTTTCTCAATCACATACTCGAATCTTGATTGAAACGTAAACTTAGTACGTCCGTTTTTGTACGCGTATTTCGATTAGATGACATAGAATATCTGAAAAAATAAATCACATATAGCTTTTATTATTATTTATGTTAGTATTACAAAAAAATCTTTTTTAAAAAAATATTTAAAAAACAATTAAATTGAATTCACCGGTATAACTTTATAAAAAAAGATAAAACAAAATTTATACATTAGGCGATGACAATGTATAATTACATGCATGTTCTTTTGACCAATCTATTTCAGATAAAACTATATCAACTTCACCTAAGACATGATTACTAATATTTAATATATGATTCCAAACGCCCACACGTAGAACACGACTAAAGAAATAGAATAAAATAATTATCGAACTATATTTGTATATATATATATATCTATGCATACTTTTGAATTTCAGCTAGATCCATTTCGTATGTAAACTAGAAATGAAAAGAAAATTGGAATATATGTATGAATAGTAAATGAATTTTTACTGTATCATTAAATACTGGATCTCGTGAAGAATGAATTTTTCCTTTCTGTTTCGTTGCTTTAGTTTCATCAGGATTTAAATAACATTTACAATATGGTCTTGGTTCATTTCCATTAACTAACGGCTAAATACAGATAGATTAATATATATTAAATTATATGAAATATAGTTACCAAATTACTAGCATGACGAACCATAATAAAAAGTTTTCCACTATCATATTTTAATTGTATACCAATTTTTGATTGATTATTTGTAGATAAATCATGTGGTGAACGAGGAGAAAGTTCTTTATAGAGAAAAAAATAATCGAAATTGTAAAGATTTTATTATTAAGATAAACTTTACCATCGTTAGATTTTTCTTTTACTTCATTTATTTGTTGATCTCGTTGTGTCAAATAAAAAAATGAACAAACAAGATCAGACTAAAAATATGAAAAGAATATATTTCAATATTCTTCTTTTTGCTTTTAACTTCATATATTACCTCAGTAATATCACTTGTTAAACGAAATAAATTTTCAAAAAATTCATTGATATCACTAGCATGTCTTTTAACTATAATTCTATCTTCTGTTACTCGAGAATATTTTAACTGAAGACCAATTAATGGAAATTGTTTAATTAAACGTTCATAAAATTCATAAATTTCATTATATGTACGGTAATGATATGTTGTATTTATACGTTCAACTTTTAATTTATATAAATAATGTTTAGATGGTTGTGTTCGTTTTTCATACTTAACAACTTGTGCTGATTGAATTTTTCCATCAACAGCTATTGTATATGTACTTATGATGCATGGTGATAATGGACTATTTGGTATAGAATTTGATGAACTTAATGGTTGATTCATTTTATGTAAAAAACCATTCCATTTTGGCCATGTTGAATTTAGGCTATCAACGATAAGATTTGTAAAATGTGTTATACTTTCAGCATAATTTAATGTTGGTGCTAAACGATCATAAACAAAAAGAACAGCATCCGAATTTAGCTTAGGTACATTTGATGAACATAGATGTGAGAGAAGAAGTAAAAGTAAAGAAGAATTTTGTCGTAGAGTATGAAATGCATTACAACATAAATCAATAAAACGATGCATTGCATCATTTGATGTACCACCATCAGACATTGCATATAGCATTTGTTTTGTGAATATAAATGGTGTACGATCACTAGAAATAAATATGAAATGAAAGAATATTATCTTCAAATTGATATCTACCGATTAAACCAACCAAATTTTTGATTATCACCAAGATATTTTCCAAAATCAATATGAAATAAATGTCCAGATTTTTTCACCATTATATTCTCATTATGTCGATCACCAATACCTAATATATATGTTGCTACACAATAACCAGCACATGAATATGTTAAATTATCGACAGCTATTTGAAAATCTCTTTCTATTGTATTATATTTACGTAACCAATCATATAAAGCTGATTCACTAAATGAACCTTTGATTGCTCCTAATGGTTTTTCTATTTCAAGCAAAGTTTCACTGTCTGTAATCATTTCAACAAAACCACAACATTCTTGTGTTTGTACAACATTAAATAAACTTAAACGAAAATCAAAATCATTTGATTGCCATATTTTATCCATACAAGATAATAACTGTAAAACAGCCTGATCTTGCTAAAAAACAAAAAGAGATAATTCATTTTGCAAAAATAAAATAAAAATTTACTCGTAAATCATCTCCAATTTTATATATTGCTTGATAATTTTCACCGAAAGTTTCAATCGAATTAAAAACAAGTTTTATTGGTGATGTTAAAGAAGTAAATATCGAACAAGAATGGATATCAATATCATTAGTTTTAAAATTAAATTGACACGGTAAACGACATATACGTTTACCTGATTGAAAAAATTCATTATTTAATTCTTTCAATTGTTCAACTAAATAATATCTACGATTTAATTTACTACTTTTTATTTCATCACCAATTCTTTTTAAATTTACACATAAATCATATTCATTTTGTAATTCAGCATGAAACTGTTCATTCATTACATAAAGTAATGATATAAATATATAATAATAACGTATAAAATGAATATTTTCTGTTAGAAATAATTGTCGTAAATACCAATATAATTTATGTGCTAAACTATAATCATTGATACATTGTTGAAGCAAATATTCAATTATGGGTGATGAATAATTGTAATCAAACTTAATTATTTGTAAAAGTTGTGGAAGATAAATCATAAGATCTTGAGAATTTATACGGGATATTAATGAACGATATGCAAATGAACGTACATACATATCAGGAAAAGTAGGTAAAAGAAGTTCAAATGATTCAATTTCATCGACTATACGATGATGGTTTATTTCATTGAGAAGAGCATAGATATCAATTAAACTTGGATAATCCCAAACAGAACGAGATTTAAGTAATTTTGGTAGGGCATATGGTTTATGAATCATAAAATGACGATGTGACCAAAGAAAATGACATTCATCATCGGAAAATTCACGATCTAGGATTACAAATGAAAGAAAGTATTATTAAAATTTTATTCTTTCATTCAGTCTTTTATATACCTTCATCTAATATATTTGTAGATGATTGTTGTTTTCGATTTTCAACAGATGATTCATTTATTATTATTGCACTATGATCAACTAATAATAAGCTTGGTCGATCAAGTAAACGACATAAAGATGCTTGTTTATCTTGATTAATTTCTGTAAAACTTTTCGCTTGTATATCATTTCTAGGTTGAATATTTGGAGAGCAGAATGCTTGATTATCAAATGATATTGTTAATATTGGACAATCACGATCAGATACATTTCGTAATGAATAAAAACCAGTTCGATTTGTTGTTGTAGCATCAATTATACCTAAGTAACGTTCACCATTGATTAGACGATGTTCATGATCAAAAATTGTTTGTGAACACCAACCAATAAGACGCATCGGAAGTCCATCAAATAAATAAACTAATGGTGATAATGATGAATCAGTTTCATCAAAAAAACTTGCATAAATTTCAAATAAAATTAATGCTTCACGTTGTAATCCACATAGATATGCCCTATCAAATGTAAGTCGTTGATCGAAATGAATTTGAGGAGAATTTTCTTGTGAAGCATTACGTACAAATGACATTAGTCTTGTCATTTGTTTTGATCTTGTTTGATTTCCATAACAAAGACGAGCAGAAATCCGAACTGTTTTAACATTTGATGGTAAAGAAAAAAGACTATCAATATGAACACTAAATAATTCTGAGGATTCTTCTATTGACCGTGGATTAGAAACTGTGATTGATAACTAAACAAAAAACAATAAAATAAAATTTTTAACATTGATTATCAAATAAATAAAGAAAGAAAAATCGCGATAACTAGATCTATTCGTTATAGATTCATATAATCTACTATTTTACACTGGTTGTTGTCTTCATGATGATTATTTTTGTGTCATTACATGGAAAAGAATCTAATGTCAATATGGACTTCTAACGGATCTGTTCTGTTAATATTTTCAGATTACTGTTATTCGTCATCATTAGATAGGTATATAGTCATTCTCCGATACAACTATTAAAACAATATTCAGTTCCAAAAAGTAGTAGTATTCACATCGGATAATTTCCCCAATCAATTTACAATGGAACGCTTTCGACTGTCTGACGCAGATCAAGTTTATTATTTGTCTATAGTTAAAACTCATTGAGAAAAGTAAAAACTAAAAAGAGTACCGACCCTTGATTTTCCGGA